TGTGAGTGTGTGAGTGAGTGAGTGTGTGAGTGAGTGAGTGAGTGAGTGAGTGAGTGAGTGAGTGAGAGAGAGAGACTGGGTATGTGTGTGTAAAACAGGATCATTACGGAGCCCAATCCTCTCAGCTGACTTGGCTTTGGGAATATTTGGGAAGAAAGTTCTGTTCCGTTCACCGAATACCAGCCACTTTCTTTCAGCAGCACAAGATGCTGGACCAAATTATTACAGCATTATAAAGAGACAAAAATAAATAGATTTAATTTAATAAAAAAAAATGTACTACTGAATCTATTCAATGCACACACTTTAATGGATTTAAAAATAACTTTTTATTTATTTATATATGTATTTGTTTTGTAATTTTACCATTATGTCTAATCATTTCCTTTTATGGATAACAACTCTTAAACTTAATTCATTATCACAACCAAAGGATTGAATATAGCCTAGCTTGACGAAGAAAATGAGGACACCAGGACATTTCAACATTAACATCTAGCTTGAACCTGCTAAAACAGCAGCTGCAGGTGAGTGTGCATCGCAGTCCTTTAGGGCTATTTAATACTGGACATTCCTAGCATAAATGGTCTTGCTGTTTTGTTTTTGTGAAATTGTTGAAAATCTCTGATTTTGTGAAAGAAAGCAAACTAAAATAAGACAGAGACAGAGCCACTAGCAGTGCTGTCACAGGCCTGTAATTGTAACTTTGTTCTGGGTCTGGCCAGTTCTGAGATATTTCTGTTCACACACAAATCCTTTAGTGGCATATTAAAATATTTGCGCCTGCGGACAGATCAGCTATTCCTGTTAATGTCCCACAAACATGTCCCTGCTCTTGATATACAATCACTGATGAACACATTTGGTTTTAATGAGGACAAAACTATACGAAGGCGGATCAGAACCCAGACCTGCTAACTAAGCACAAGTTCTACCGCTAGACCATGAGCACCTGCGGATCTGTGTATAATCACTGTCGAGAAGAATCAGTACTAGTGAACGATTCTGATGTGAGGATGAAACTAGCCTATCGCATTAAACATGTTTCTATGAGTTCTGTCAATAAGTTAGTCTTTGTGTTCATATTCTGGACTCGTCTGATTTTCTATTCAAAGTATGCTTTATTAATATATTGTGTGCAGAGTTTGGTCTTTAATGCATCGAGGCACATCAACTTAAGGCCGTGTAAATGCAGATATCGGGTACGGGTCACTTTTAAAAGAAGGTGTAAGCGGGTCAACAAACAAAATGGATATAGTCAAAAAATCAGATTTGGGCATCCAGATCTGCAGTGTAAATGCAGCCATTGTGACCCAAACATCTTTGACATTTGTTTGAATGCCTTTGCATTTCATTACAAAATATCAACCCAAGTGGCATTTAAGGTTGAATTTCTGTGCACTGCACATTAGGTGCTCTGCTAGGTCACCTAAATGAAGTATGAAGTCAGCTCTCACAGATGTCAGACAACCTGTAAGCACCAGCTGCATGATGATTGGATGATAACACAACTATTCCCAATGTATAATCAGAAATATGAATTGAATATGATCATGAACTGAGCAAGTATGAATTTAACTGAATAATTTAGAATAATGTTATTTATCATATGGCTAATTTAATGCTACCATAACAGCTAAGTAACGCCTGTTGGTTAATAATAATAATCCTGTTTTGTTTTGTAGTTCTTTGGTTTCCTCGTTAGTCCCACATTGTTCTCACCTGTGTCCTGTTAACCTGTGTTTCACTGTGAGCTGTTTCATGCGTTTCCCTGGACTTGGCTTCCTTGAACTCTGTTTATGGTTTATTTTCTATCGATAAAAAGCTGCTCTTATATGTGTATCTGATCTGTAGTTTCAGGAAAGGTCCTGGAGCTGTCAGAAATCCACCAGGTGGCACATTTTGCATCATTTTTCAAATAAATGGACACATCTGGGAGCAGATAACAGAGACAGAGTGCACATTGTTCATTTACATACACATCTACTGACAGTGAAAAACTAAAAACATCAAGACAATAGTCAACAAAACGAGACACAGGTGAACATAATCAAAAACCAAACACAGGAAGTGCCACAGGAAATGGAAACACAGAAACTAATACCACAACAGGAGAGTCCTTGGGCTGGAACAGATGAACAGAGGGTGGAGCAGAATAATGAATATTCTGTCATCATTTACTCATTGTATCATTTTGATACAAATTAAGATATTTTAATGAAATCTGAGAGGTTTCTGTCTCTTCACTGAAAGTCCAGGTAACCAACGCCTAAAAGATCCAAACCGTTTATAAAGGCATTGTAAAACGAATCCAGAAGGATATGTGGATAAAAGCCTAAATTCATATGGATTCATTCAATGCCTTGGTAAAATGATGACAGCATTTTTTTTCTAAGTAACCAACGCCTAAAAGATCCAAACCGTTTATAAAGGCATTGTAAAACGAATCCAGAAGGATATGTGGATAAAAGCCTAAATTCATATGGATTCATTCAATGCCTTGGTAACATGATGACAGCATTTTTTTTCTAAGTTTGCTTTTAATTAGTTATTAGATGCTATAACAACGGGGTGTCATGATTGTGAGCTTGTGATTGGCTCTGTGGAACCCTCACAACCAAAAACACACTTCTCTGGTGACATTCTTCCACTTCTGTGAATGAAGTACGTTGATGGGCTGCTCTTGGGCCTCGTCCCAAATGAAACACTTCATGTGCACTTGCGGTCTTGAGGACTTACAACGGCCGCCGCGTGTCCGTTAAGTCCAGGAGACCGTAGAGTGTCCCATTCGTCATTTTAGCTCTCAAAAGGGGGCTCGCGAACGCCGCCTTTACGGCCAGCTCTGCAGCAGACTTCTACCCGACAGTCAACGCGGCATTACTCACGAAAGTGTGGACTCCGAGGAAGACTGCGAGGGTTTAGGGTGTGATTTGGGACAGGGCCTTGCTCTCGCTCTGGTTGATGTGTGGGAGAAGTGTACATACAAGGAATTCCACCCTTCATAACGTCATACAGGGCCATACTCGAAAAAAACTTTCCCAAACCCGGAAGGAGTGTATTTGGCACAGAAATACTCCGTGATACGTCCAACTCGTTAATTTTTTTTTTTTTACTTTGGCCATGTTTAGAATGAGAATCCAACTCTTGTTCTTGTTTATTTATTTATATAGCACCATTTAAAACACAACCGAGGTTGAACCAAAGTGCTTTACATTAAAAGTACAAGAATGGAAACAATCATCGACAACATAAAACACCACATCAATCACATAAACACAAATTATAAAAACCAGCCCGAACCACTGAGTTAATTTGCTTATCTAATTTTAGGTTATTATCAATTAGGAAGCCTAAATCTCTTATTGTTTTTTTTTTTCAAATACGGTGCCAGAGGGCTCGCATCTAATACATTTTTTGTGGAGTTATTTGGGTGGCTAAAAACAATGACCTCTATTTTTTCCTCATTTAGCATTAAAAAAAATGTTGCCATCCAATTTTTTATGTCCTTTAAACACTCTAGAAATGACTCAAATGAATTTGTGGAATGTCTGATTGGAAAATACATTTGCGTGTAATCGGCATAACAATTAAATGATAAACAATACTTTCTAAAAATGCTGCCCAGAGGGAGCAAGTATAAAGAAAAAAGTATAGGAGAAAGGATAGAGCCTTGCAGAACACCCCAAGGAAGATGTTTTTTACCTGAGATTTTATTATTATAATTAGCTGAAAAACATCTATTGCTCAAATAGGACTGAAACCATTTCAGGACTGTACCCTTTAGCCCTACTAAATGTTCAAGACCTTCACACACATAACCCACTGTTTTTGTTTTCTGTTTTCTCTTTCAGTTCAGCCCTTTTTCTTTGTGGACACTATTTTGCCCTTATAATATTTTATGTCTGATTTATATAAATTGGCTTTGCACTGATCAGTTAATGTATTAGTTCAATATGCCAACTTTTAAATGACTAGCATCTGTTTCGGTTGCATGATCACATCTGTATTTATTGTAGTTCTCTCTACCTCTCTCATAGCTGTGTAAGTGGCTAATATCTGTGCACGATGGACAAGTAATTAGACTGAGTTTTCAGAAACACAGGGTGTGTGTGAGTTTGTGGAGGTTTCTGACGGGTTCAGACGCAGATGCAAACAGACACAGGAGACGGGATCTTCATCTACTCCTTCCTAAACAGCACTGCAGAGTAACAGCACTCACATTTACTTATATGTTTGTTCTCTATACAGTGTGTATGATGTGCATCTGTGAGGACGCAGGGGAAACAAAATCTCATTCTCAGGAATGCACAAAACTGGCAGAACTTGAATGTGAAAACCACAAAGTGTGCGGTTTGCTTATAACATGCTTTGTGTACTTTCCACTTTATTTTCTCTGACATAAAGACACAAATGTCTGCACTATGTTTCAGAGGTGCTGTATGAGGACATTCAGTACTTTACTGTGTTCATCATTGTGTTGGAGACGCTGGCTGCATCTCTTACGCTGTGCATGTGGCTCTTGAATAAACTATACTACTTCATAAAGGCCTGGAGACAACGGAGATGCTTACCAGGTAACAAACTACAGTTACTGTCATCTGCATGTATAGAAAGTTGCCACACAAGTGTCTGAATGAGTGTCTGCTTTAATAAAGATATTTAATGCTCGTGTCAGACCACACACTCACTGACGGGTGGAAGAGGAAACAATCAGGCTGT